TCTTGAATTCTTTCTCCCATTCTTTGTTTTGGACTCTCTCTTGTATGTTAGAAGATTATCTTAAATGTCTGGGTAGCTGGTACACCTAAGAATCAGTTAACAAAATAGCTTATCGGTAGCCATATGGATCAATAGTAAGCTTCATTGTGAATGAATTGGCTGGGATATTTCAGAAAGGCCTCCAGTTTTGGGGATTTGTAAACTTTTTTTCTAGGGTTTGTCAGTTTTCTTAGAGAGGAATCCTCCAACCTCCAGCTTAGCTGGCTTAAAGCCTGATAACCAGCATTCTCAGGTCCAAATGTGAGAAGGGATTGAGATTAGTATGTAAATTTAATTTAATAACATGGACTTTACAGTATATTGCCTCTTCTTTTAAGTGACTCCAGATTTCTGAGTTCAAAGTTTTATCTGATTCAACTTCTCAGAAAAAAACATTTATTTCCATTGTTTTGCGTAAGCAGGAGCAAAGTAAGCAGGAGCAAAGGGATGAAGTCAAGCACTGAGCTATCAGAAACGCAGAAGGAGATCTGGTGTAACTCTTTTTTGTTGTTGTTGAGTTGGAGTCTCACTGTCGCCCAGACTGGAGTGCAGCGGCCGCTCCCGGCCACCGCAGCCTCCACCTGCTGGGCCCCGGCGATCCTTCCGCCTCAGCCTTCCGAGTAGCTGGAACTCCAGGCGCGCGCTACCATGCCCGGCTCATTTTTTGATTTATTGTAGAGATGAGGCCTCACCAAGTTGCCCGGGCGGGTAATCCTGAACCCTCGGGCTCAGGCAATCCCCTCTCCTCAGTCCTCAGCCTCCCAAAGGCGCGGGATTACAGGCTGAGCCACCGAGCCCGGCTGTAACTCTTCTTATGTAGACTTTTGACCAGTGCTTCTGTTTTCACGCTCAATTACATCACCATTCTGAGAGCTAAATGATGATTCCACTTACTGAATTTTCAAGGGTTCTACAGCATGAATCACCTAGTTCTGTCCCCCGTACTGAAAGACTTGATGTGAGCTTTCTTGGTTTGCTAAGAAGCGACCATTCCTTGATCTGATACTTTGGCTTCAAAATTGTTTTTCTGTCTGTCATCTGTTCTCCCATAGACTCTATTTTATTGATATGTGCCTTTTTATTGCTATTGTTTTATTCCTTTACTGTTGCTTTAGCATGGTTTCAGGGAGAAACATGAAGAGTGTGCATGTCTAAAATAGTAGCATTAAGTGAAACTAAATCTACATGTCTCTCTTAAACACAACACTGTTAGTTTTCGAAGTCTCACAAACTATTTCCCCCAACAATAATTGCAACTGATTAACTTTTGGGCGGAAATAGTTGCATAAAAAATCAGATCAGATTTGGGGGAAAAAAATTAAATCACTGTGTGATAATGAAACCTATTAGGCTATAAGAATACTTTTATTAAGGAATTATATTTCATAGAACTCTTGGAATGCTTTTACAATTCTTACACAATAAAATTATAGGTCCGATAAATTGAGGAGCAATATTATAATATTTTTTCAAACTGCATTCTTGATTAAAATAGTAAAGAATGCATTAGCTAGTTCATATATACCTCAGTTTTCATGCTAAAGGATTTTAGAAAATTATGTGGGAAAAATATATATTTTATCACAGATCTTGCATATAATATATATATATTATCTACAGACAATGCAGATTAATAAACACACTAATAAATTAATAAATATATTGCCAAGGCAGACTAACAAATCTCAAAGGAATCTAAATGTCAATAAAGTTTTACAAAAATCTCAAAATAGCTATCTAAAGAAAGTTATCTCATTTTATATTAGTCACCATTGTAGAATGTTCCTTTTCTCACACTAAATTTCCTCATCAAAACAATAAGTGATTACCACAAAATTTTATTTTAAGCAGCGTGTAGTTCCAAAGTCTAGACATTTATATCAGAACATAGAGTTTAATGAGAGACATTCATTTTCACTATTATAGAAACTCTATAAGATTACCAATGGCATTGCATTAATACATATGTTATGCATTAATTATACATTAATATATTATGGGGCAGTTTCTAGGGACAACCTACCACGATGGAGTTGAGGATAAATGCTAACATTATTAACTGTAATTCTTGTTAATTCCAAGTCATAGTCTGCCTCAGTTTGGTGTTGCAAATATAACCTTCACTGTAGATTTTGTGTTTTGTGTGTATTTTATTTTTATTTTATTCTGTTTCCAAGTTCCACATGTGGAATCAGTTAGAAAAAAAACCAAACTACAATACAGTGGACAATTCTAAAATCGAGGCTCCAAAGAAAAAATAATTGTTCCTATTGTTTTAGAATTTCCTAAAATAGCTAAAGCAAAAGTACTTGAAATAAATAAAGTCATTTAGTTGCTTATGGTTTATACAGATGAATATCTATTCAATCAAGCAGTCCAACAGTATCAAATTAAAATCCAAGCACAAATGAATCTTAAGCATTATCATTCTATTTTAAACACCAATGCTGCCAAATTTAAGCACAGTATTAATATTCTAGTCCTGTCCTTATTTACAAAGATAGATATTTTAAATTTTTAAAAGAATCATATAGAAAAAACATACTTCAACCTAAAAAGTTTGGTCTTCAATCAAGGTTATATTTGGAATACATGGATTCTTTAGATAGGTCTAGTTGTCTTTATTGTGAAGTAGTCTTACCATTCAAAGCATGTTTGAAAGTTTACTATCTAAAGGAATTAATTAATCCAAATATTAAATAATAGACCACTTGAAAAGTATGTCTGAATCCCCATATTAGAAAGATGCCACATTTATTTAGAGTCCAGAATTTTCTCCAATAACATAATTATAGACAGCTTTCTAATAAAGTCTAGCCACCAAAAAGTACTTTTTCAATATGGTATGCATCACAGAGACATATCACTGAAATAACATAGAAAAAGGTGTTTCTCAAGTCTAGTGTGCATGAGAAAAATCCCAAAGGAAGTCAAAGGAGAGAAATGTAACAGAGCTAGTGCCTTCAGGAATGGTTGCATGGAAGATGAGTCAAACCTTAGAAGACTAACAGTGTTTGAGAAAACTGGAGACAGCAGTGGTATTATTTCCTAAGGTGTGCTATATGAACTACGATACTTAGGTACAACTCACTTTGGTCAGCAAGAGATGTGAACAGATAGAAAAAAGTAGGGATAATGCAAAAGAGCACTGAAAAAAGCTTTGTGTAAAAAGAAAAGGAAAAATGTTTTCTGAAGTCCCTGAAAATGAATTTCTCCCCTTTGTATTTAATTTTTAACCCAGCAATACATTTAAAAAAAATTATAAAGCTTATCATGGTAGTAATGAAGTTCACAATCCCGTATTCAAAAACCTTTTGGGTATGTGTTTTAGACATTTTAAGATTTTATAAATATCACATGTGCTATCTATTATATAACACATCCAGCAGCATCTTTGGCTATACTGTGTAATCAAACACATTTCTTGAGCAAAACATGTGATCATTCACACAAAATAGGGTAAATAAAGAAAAGTTTTTCTTTATTTTTGTTTTTCTATTTAAGTCATTTCAGGTCAAATTTTGCCACTACACTAGCTCACAGCATGTTTTGCTTATAAAAGTTACAAACAAACAAACACATTCATTTTCAGGACTCTTTAGTTTTTAGAACTGTGTTAAAGGTATTGAAGATGTATACTTTAGAACTTCATAAGCTATGTAAAACTTTATGATCTGAAATAACTAAAAAAAAAAGAGATATGTAGTCTAGAAAGTTATATTATGAAAGTAATGAATTAATTTCATTCACTTTAAAATTATTTGTGAACAAAGCCAGTGGACATATTTGGTCATGAAAAGGGGGACCAGAGGCTATTTTATTGTTGGGAAGTATATAGCTATGGTCAACCTGTGCACCCATAATGATGGGGAAAGAGTGGTATGTGGCATGGAGGTGCCTAAATTACACCAGGGCGTGCCTCGGGGGTTAGAAGATGTTGGAGAGATTGGACTATGGACTCTCTTTGACATTCGTTCCAGGGGGGAAGCAGGTACCTGAATGTGAAAGGTGAATCACAAATGTAGCTCTGTCATCCACTCAGTTATCTGAATAATTAAATGAGAGTCAGCATAAGCTTTGATAAATAGATTGTGTATAATCGTAAACCTCTTTCTAAATATACTACACCTGACCTGCAGTGAAAGAAACTGAAGGGGAAAAAAAGGAAGATAGGCAGAAAAACAAGAATTCTTCCCTTGTTATTTACGTCTGAATTACTGTAAGGAGAGAAGAAAAATACCTTATATGATAACACTGGAGAATTGTAAAAGCTTAATGGAGTGACAGATGACAAATCTATCACTGCAAAAGACCAAACTAAATGCAGGCCCTTGCTATGTTTTGGTGGGGAAAAGAATAAGAAGAGCAAAAAGATTTCAAATATATTTGCCAAGAGCAAACAGTAGGAAAATAAGACCAAGAGCAAAAATAAATTAACAAACACTTTTATGGTGGCTCAACATTGTCCAGGATTGGTGCTAGTTACTTTCAACAAAGTTGGAGCAAAAAGAGACTGTCCACAGAGATGTTTGGTTATTCACAAGTCAATTCAGAATGCTCTGTTTATGTGATGTGCATTTAAGAAAATAAATAACTTATTCTCATCTAAGTAAAATTAACACAAGTACATACAGAATTACTCTTTTTTCAGAAAAAATACAAATATATACATATATTCACATATAAAGATTAAAAGTATATACTGGTGGTACCAGTAATATTTATTGTCATCCTATTCATGTAGTTTCTAAATGTTCTATAGTGAATATATATTATTATTATATGATTAGAATGATTAAATCGTCTAATGACTATGTCTTCAGGAATGTGTTAAGGAAGCTATCGTCTTACACAGTTTTCACTCTCAACTAAACAGAACTCTGGTTTTAGAGAAAACCATAGTGGTCGGACAGAAGAAATCCATATTAGGTTAATCACAGTTTTCTGGGATATTTACTTACAGTACACATCCACTCTGATTGACTTTATCGCTGGGGACCCCAAGCCATTTTCTGCTTTACAGTAATACCGGCCTCCTTGGTGTCGCTGAATATTTGTAATCCTCAAAGTCTCATTGAAGACACTTGAGTCTTGGAATCTGTCAGAGGCACTTCCTGCTGTTTTGGTCCACCTGATCTGAGCAAGCATCAACAAAGATGGTTACTTTAGGTTGGTTTTCCCACAGAACAATCAATTAGCAACGACTCAGGTGAAGAGTTTGCCTTCAGAGCTACTACTTTGTCTCTCCCATCAAATTATTGAAAACATTTAAAAAATTTTATAGACACAATTATATTATGAAATTTTAAATGTGATATTATCATTGTAATTCAGATTCAATTGCATAGAATTCACCAGAAGCATAATCAGTGCAGAGGGCAATATAAATGATAACACAAAGAAAGTTAAATATCGGTAGTGCACTGAAAATATCAATGAGTTGGTTTTTGTCTTGAGCATGAAAAATTGTTCTTGCATATTTTTCAAATCTTGTAAGATGCTTTTTACTTATTTAGCCCAGGCAGGTTCTAGTCTTATTTTTGGACATAGTTCATGATTTTATTTTAAAATTTCCTATTTGATTGGGGGTAGTTTAGCCATATTGCCATAATGGTTTACTGAGACTATGTATAATTTTATACACCTGGCTGTTGAAAGAGATTTTCTTTTTTCTTTAATGGTTTTGCTTTAATAAGTGCACAAATGATTTGTCTATTTTGACAATTAGAATTCACTTTACATCAATAATTATTTTCAAAAAAATGTGTAAACTTTTCCAAGGAGAACATTTCTACTAAACTGCCAAAAAACACTGAATATGTAAAACATTTCATTATAAACAATACCATTCTTTTAAACACAGCTGTGTACAACAGATTTCATTTTTGCTAGCAATAATGACTGGTATTCAACTCAAATTTTGAGTATTTTAGTTTATAAAATCTGAACAAAAGTCATATGCTGGTACTGCAAAGTTATACAAAATAGAAAGTAAAAAAGATATGGTTTTATTTCTCTCTTTGTCCTTGTTATGTAAATATAATGTTGTTTGTTTTTATTTTAAAGTTAAGACAACTTATAGAAATCTTCTGATCAAACACAAATGATGAAACATGAAAAATGAAGCCAAAGATTAGGCCTTCAAGGTTGAAATTCTATAATTTTCATTATCTATATCTAATTCCATGTAACATCAATGGAAATTTATAAGCAAATGGCATTAAAAGCACCTTTACAAAGTTCTCCATATCATTAAAATTCTAGCTTAAATATAATCCTGTTTGTCCCTAGTTGTGAATAAAATCAAATTTCATTTACAAATTAATAAAAATTTAGTAAATCACAAAAATAAATACGTATCAAATATTTATTGAACACCTTCTAAGTAATAGAACACATGAAGAAATCAATGATATGATTCCTGTTTTGAAGTAGTTTATAAAGTTATTACTAAAATGACCATAAAAAGAGAACTTTGTAAATTATGTCAAAAATGGAACTAGTTGCTAAACTTTGACTTAGTAATTATCTGACTAAAATTTACCTTACTAATATATTTGCACAAGAATACAGAAAAATTAGTTTACTGCATATGTAATAGTATAACATTGAAAACAATATAGATATTGAATGACAAAGTTATAAAATGATTGACTGAAATTGAATTAAATGCAACCATTAAAATAATTATACTAAAAAAAGGATTATTAAAAGACAAAAACATGATATTTGGTTCTTTGCTTCTGTAATAGATCACTGTCCATTAAATATTTACCAAAATGAATCATGTAATTAAAGCAAAGAAAGCTTTAACTAATTTTTTAAAAAGTAGAGATAGTACAGACCATGTTAACTGGAGTTAGTTCAATATAGTTATAAATAAATTACCAAAAGATGACTGTATTAGTTATCTTTTGATAATCCAGTCATTGTTCAAAAAGAAAATGAAAAAGAATATTACTAACTATCGAGAAGCCAATGAATAGAAAACCATTTCATGCTGAAATCTATGAATCCAGAATCTACAGAGGAAAATATAAACCTTGAGTGCCCTCTACATATTAAGGAATGAATGAAAAAGTAAATAACCGTATTTGAATTTATTTTAATTTAATGTAGGTTGCTGATTGAGGTAGTTTAGGAAAGAGGAAGAGGCCAAAAGGGCCTGCTAGTTGTCTTTTACGGAAGGTTCTAACAAGCTATTACATGACACTCTACTTATTTGATACAATTATACCTGAACTATAAGAAAGACTGAGAAATAATACTCTTTACTCTGAATATCACCTTCCTCCAAGAGCCCTGCTAAAATGAGATAGTTCTTTAACTCTGGAAAAAGAGGAAAATGGATATTTAGGACAACTACTACTTTCACAATGGAAATAAAATATATCCAAAATTCAGATATGCTACATTATTAAACATGTTATATGTTTAAACCTCCTTACAACAATATAACATTAAACAGTTATTTCTATAGAAAAACAATAACAGAAAAGGAAAGATATTAGAATTTAGGAAACACTCTTTGTAACCTTCTTTCTAGTCTAAAGAAAACATGGAGATCGTCTTAGGCTGTGGAACATAGCCTAAGAGGATCTCCCTTAGCTTAGGGCTTTTCAATTCCCAACAGAGAGTTTTCTATTTTGTTTTTTGATATAATGATACTTCTGAAACATCATTGCTTTTATATAACCTTAAATAAAAATCCATGTTGACTGAGATAATCTAAGGAAAATATTAAAAGCCTGAAGCATAAATCAAAGTTAGACTTGGGTGAATCCAAAAAAGTATATTGCATAGATGCAACAAACTCAATAAGGACTTTGACAGTGCTGAGAATTCTAGGTTCCCTCCTTTAATTAATGTCTAGTGAATAAAGATTTGTAAATTGAAGCTACTTTCTATCAGTTTTCAAGGTGTTAAGCCAAATATACTCAGGTCAATCTGAGCTTTGTTCTTGCATTATTTGTACTCTGAAAGAAAGATTTTTCATTAGTAAAAGAGGGCCTTACAAAAAATAAGATAAACATCATCTGAGCTTCTATAATTATTGGGATAAACTGATAACAGAGCCTTTGGAAGCTAAATCTTAAAAGCCAGTTACAGAGTGTCACGCTGAAAGATATTAAGGGAGAGCTATAGTTGGTGATTAGGAGCAGACAGTGTTTGTTAGAGTTTTGAAAATAAAGGCTATCCTCTCTTCCTGCACTGATATCAGGGAAAATTACAGAAGAAATAGATTCTCTTTTAGTTACACAATACAGGTTCAATTTTTAATAAATTGTATCAATCTACAATAGATTTTAGCAACTTGTCACACTCACTTGTAAATCTGATCTCATAAAGAAAACCACATTTTTTAAAACAAAGCAACAAACTTTTTGCCTGAAATTCTATATGCATAAAAAGCTATGCTTTTCTAATATACCCAGAATATGAGGGATCACAATTACTAAGATTACTATTACCACTAATACTAATAATATATAATTTAAAAATATATCTACAAGTTATGCAGCCATAAAGAAAGACAAACAACATGGATGGATGTAGAGTCTGTCATACCAAGTGATGTTCACAGAAACAAAGAACTAAGTGCCACATATTTTCATTCATAAGTGGACCCTAAACATTTATTTATAAGAAGGGGATTGGGAATAGCAGGACACTGCCAGGAGAAGGAATGGGGAGCACATAACATCAACAAGCATACCTCATCCTAAACTAGGAGAAGTGAGGACCAATGGAAGGCCCAAACTTCACCTGCACATAGACCCCTTATGCACCTAATCCTGACTTATACCCCACATCTTTAAAATAAAATATATAATATATATATGCATACGTGTGCATACACACAAACATACACACACACACACACACACACATACACACACATGTCAGAGTCACTATCTCACTATCTAACATATACAAATAAGAGGCTCATGGCAGCAAAAAAAAAAATAGGAGCCTGAAGAAGAATATAGTTGGTTGATCTTCTCACCAGTTAGAACTATAATGATGGACAGGTGTAGTGGCTCACCCTTGTAATCCCAGCACTTTGATAGGCCAAGGTGAGAGGATTGCTTGAGCCCAGGTGTTAGAGACCATCCTGGGCAACATATCGAAACCTTATCTCTCCAAAAAATTTAAAAGGCAGCTGGACGTGGTGGTGTGTGACTGTAGACTCAGCCTACTTAGGAGACTGGGGTGGAAGCATTGCCTGAGCCTGGGAGGTCAAGGCAGCAGTGAGCCAGGATATTCTAGCCTGAGTAACAGAGTAAGACCCCCACTCAAAAAAGGAAAAAATGAAAAGATGATGAAGGAAAGGGAAATTCTGTGGTAGATGAGTTAGAAAGGGAAGAAAAGTTGTGAGGTGAGGACACCGTTTTTCTGAACCTTAAAGCAGACAACACTAGGTTTTCAGATCTTTTTTTGCCTGTGACTTTTTTTGGGGGGGGGATTTAAACTTTGAGAAATGGATTCTCCTCTCATGTGCCTAAATAATAGAAGAAACCAAATAAATTTAATGCTTGTATTTTACTTAGTATAAGACGTGTATATATATATATATATATATATATAGGAGAGAGAGAGAGATTGAGAGAGAGAGAGATTGAGAGAGAGATTGAGAGAGAGAGAGATTGAGAGAGAGAGAGAGAGAGATTGAGAGAGAGAGAGAGATTGAGAGAGAGAGAGAGATTG